TAAGTAAATAAATTTGAATAATAGTTGAATTGACTGGATTTCCTCGTATGCGGATAGATATTATCTTATCATAGCTGACATTGTACTTAAAAATATAGCTTGAAATGCCTTTTTTGACAATGACAATGAATATGACTCCATTCCTCTTGAATCAGATTTTCATATAAAAAGAAATTTTGATTACTGGGGATTGAGAACAGGAAGCAGTCGTCTAGTCTTTAGAGGGTAGACAAGTTAACACTTGGTTAACCCCCTTGCTTAACACGTGGGTGAAGGGGAAGATATAATGCAAGAGGAGATGGGAAAGTAAACAGGTCAAGCTATTGGGACATTTCCTACGTTTTTTTTAAGTTGTTGAATGGGAAAATGATAATCTGATAAGTAAACCCCTACCAAACTCACAATAGTAATTTTAAATTAAAAAAGAGAAGTATAAATGTATCACTAATTCTTAAAAAAAAAAAGAAGAAGTGGAAAAAATACCATGACTTCTGTCAGGCGCAGATTAGTCCTCTAAGTAACATCCTTGCTTTTCAACATTTTAAAGAGTTCTTGTGCCAGAGATTTACCCACGGTGTCCGGTTTCTAGTTACCCAATTTGTCTGGGCTTGGTATCTTCATATCCAGAGCTTCTCTGATTCCATTTCATAGACAAACTCCCATCTCCTATAGGAGGAAGGACTGGGGGTCTGTTTACCACTGTTTGTGTTTCCAGCACATACATCATATCTCGCATCTGTCAAATCTCATGATGTACTTCCTAATCCTTTCCATGTGTCTGCCCAGTAGACAACCCCTTCCTTCCCTTCCTAATACAGTCACTACTAATCCATCAACTCTACTTCTAGATAGATATTTAGTGGTTAGGATTACCAGTGATTCCTAGTTTCATCAAAGATGGAGTCTATGTTTGTTCCTACTCTGGACTTGGGGATGATTTCTTAGATGATAAGGTCTCCCCTATATCGTCTTAGAAACAGATGTCAGTAGGAGGCAAAGGACATTTATAGAGGTCTAAATACAGGCATGTACATATGTAAATATATTTATATATAAGGATAGGGAAATAGATCTATGTAC